ACCGTCCGGATCTTACAATATATATATATATATATATTTCAGAAGTACGGAAACCTTTAACTAGCAGCTGTTTGACTGATTTCATTGTGTTCTTTCTGAACAGATTTAACGTACCTACTAGCACTAAACGTTTACTCAACTTGCTTTAGCAAAATACAACAAAGCGAGGATAGCTAGCACTGCGGAAACGTTTGTGAATCTTACTGAAGACTTCGCCCGGTAGGCGAAGCCGATCCATGAGTAATAATCGATAAACTGTTCAATGATTATCAGAAATCATCAGCAGTGCATGTCTCATGAAATTCCAGTAGAGTCCCAAAATCGCGATTTCCTCAACACAAAACAGTTTGACCACGATCGTTTGATGAAAAATGCGAATAACTAGTACTTAGACGGGATACAGCGGTGCCCGTCATTCCGTTCAGCCGTGAAGTGGAACCTTCATCTGAGAATCGGTTACTCAAGGAGTCATCCAAGACCCGTGATTGAAAAATGAAAGGCGCTACAACATGTCAGAATTCAAGTAAATCGCACTCCTGATTGGCTTCTCGGTGTCAAGGGACTTGAATTACAGAACAAAATTTTGAATAAAACTCTTACATCCCCTCAAACTACCAGCATTTTACATCGTCCGCTCCCTTCAGGAAATCATTTGTTTCCAGTCTCGACTGGGTCACTCCAAAAAATTTCCAACTACTTTTTCCAACAGCTGACTATTCGAAAGGCGTTTTTTGTTACCTGCACAAGTGACTAATAATATATCAGTAAAATCAAAACGAATGAGGTCCTCGTAAGCAGTGTTGTAGCAAACTGTGTAAAATATTTTATTCACTTGTAGTCGAATGTAAGTCACAGTGCTCGTCCAGAATAAGCGAAATCGTTAGAGCACAGTGACCTGGGTCTGAAATAAACCGACGAGGAGTAGTACTCAAAGTCTCGGTGTAGTACAACCTGCAGCCTGTTCAGCATTATGCCATCTGCAATTTCAAGGAAACTTCGTCGGTGGGAGGAAAGATAAAACCAAGTCAGACCAGGAGATTCGCGCTAAGTATGTTCGTATTGATCCACACCAAGTTTATCCCCCTTGTTGGAGCTTATGATGAGTGCATATCGTTGCCTGCTCTGGAAATCGAACAGCTGAAATGCGAAGAGTAAGTCCAATGCAGAGCCAGTCCCGTGACACGCCGACGGCTCGGGGGTCGGGACAGGCTGGTTGATTAATCGAAACCACTGTGTTGTCTTTCCAGGCATTCAAAAACTTTAATACTTTTGCTACAAGTTAAGCAATTCCAACTACACGCATCAAAATATCAGGTTCAACTTTTGAAGATTTGTACACATAAAGTACTGTTAACTACATGTAGCTTCGAAACGAAGCTAACTCAAGGGTGCCGGTCTTGTTGCAAGGAACTCTGGTTCTTCGGGAAATTGCAAAAGAACACCCAAAGTACGTGCTTTTTACCTCGAGTTCGAGTATTTGTCTAGAAGTTCCATGCTATTCTTCCGACCACTGGGGATTGGTTTGATAGATTAACCATGGTCTGAAGCAGCAATCTCGTCATCGAAATAATGTGGTCCCCATTCTGGAGGGCGGGTTTTAGCCGACCAACCCAGGCTTTGCGTGATCTTTTCCCGATCTCTCTAACCAGCAAAATGTTTAACATCTCTCTGATTGTGTACGCGGATACATGGTCTATCCAAAGTAGCTTCAGGTGCCCGACACACTCCTCGATGGAAGTCCCCGTTGCACAACCGAAGTCTCGCTTTCTAGTTTCCTCGTTAATTTGCCGACACAAAACCACACACAACCACACGAGCCATTGTTGTTGATGAAGACACGAAGATGTCTCACTTCCGCTGCCAAAAGACAAAACAGCCTGTGTTCAGTGAGCGCAGGTTCAGGAGCATGATATCAAAGTTTGCTGGTGCAAAGTACATGCCAAAGGACGGAATGACTTTGATCATTCGATCCAAACACACCCACTCTTCTTTCTTTTCCTTTTAGACGGAAACGATGCCCTCTCCACATTCCAGATAGAAAAGCGCTTCATCAACAGCTATTCGAAGAACTTTTGGCGTCCTCCTCATTATTTCATTTATCACAAACTTAAGTAGGAATGGAGAGGCGGTGGGCACCTCTGACAGACATCTATTTGTGTAGGTAAGCTTTCGAAGAGCTCTCCGCACATGCCCGGAAGTCTGGGAATACAAAAAACGCATTGCGCTCACAAACTTCTGGAGCATTCCTTGATGGGCAAGCGTGTTAAAGAGAACAGACAGGCCAACCGATTTGAATGCGTCCAGGAAATCCAGGAATACTAAAAGAGTGAATCGTTTGTACGTATGGTGTTGTTCCGGCACCCGATGCAATATGAAGATTTAGTCAAAGCCACCTTTACCAGGCCGAATCCTGCTCACTCCTCTTGAGTCAGTGTTTCACGATCCACTCACTACTAAAATGCCGAAGCAGAAATGAAGGCGAATATCTTGTTACGACCAGGGTCAAGCTGATTTCACTGAGATTACCGCATCCTCTACGAGCCCTTTTTGTAAAAGAGCACTTTGTCGATTCCCCTCAGCTGTCTGGAACAATTTTGTTCTCCCAAATGCAGGCAAACAGGTCAGCCAAGCACTGACTGAGGACTTCATCATTCTCCATGAACAGTGAGTACTGTTGCGAGGCATTTGGACCAGGTGTGTCGTGCTTTAGAGAGCATACGTTTTCACTAATTTTTGAGGCCGTATTGGGGTTCCAGTTTCAACTTCCCAGGCTCTAGTTCAGCTGCATTGTCCAAACGAGTGACAGAATTTGATAACGAGAACTGTTACTCAAACTGCTGGGCCCACTGGTCGAGACTTCATTCTCTATTGAACACGGTCATGTCTCAAAAATCCCGCAAAAAGACTGACAGTAGGCTTTTTACAGAGAGAAATATAATTTTAAAAAATGCAGTCCTGAGAAGTTTTCATCTATGATTGGAAACAGCGCATGAATAATCTCTTTAGAAGTAAACTGATGACAAATTTTGTCCAAGGTAACTTATGCTTAGTATAGGTCTCATGAGGGCTTTGGGCCTATCAGTTCACTCCTTTATTGTTCCGTGTCTCACGAGGTTAATCGAATCCACATTCGTCGTTAGCAATGCACTGTAATGGCCGAATTCAGTATCATGGTTGTTAAAGCCCAATACCAGATAGGCAGCATCTGCTGATGGAAATACGAAACAACGTTAGAGAATTGTACGGACGTGACAAACTACTGATAAGTTTGCTGTAAACTATTCAATACACCCACTTGGAACCCAGCTAAATCTCTCGTTTATGGTGTTCTTTTACAATGTATTAAGGCATCTCAAACTCTAACGTGAGACGGACTTTTGCAGTACATTCAGTCAGAAAGGAACATCATAAACGAAAGCTTCAGCTAGGCTGCAGGTTAGCCTTCCGTCAAAACCAAACTCGCGTGCGAATGCGTGTACTAGTCAAACGTTAAGGCCACTCAAACAACAAAAGAAGACGATCAAGTCAAAACTTGACTGTCGAAGTAATATATAACGTACAACTAGGCATTTCCTGTGCCGTCTACTAGCGGGCGCAGATACTATCAACGTACTGACTCACCATTCCGTCCGTCCGGTGTAAATCTCCAGACACGAACCTTGCCGCAGCATTCCACGCTCAATCTTTTGGCCAAATCCAAACTGAGGGTCGTAGTCAGCTGGTTGTTGGCCTGTTTTACGTGCACTGAACTCAACTCATGCAGCATTTGAGGGCGATAATCACAGACTCAATTTATTCAACGTTTCAATTGATCTATTTAAGCACTGTCCTTGAACCAGCGGTCGAAAAACAGTGATCTGTTATCCACAGGAAATATGTGAACATGTGAACAGTTCTGAGTGAGTAAATATCGACTAGCGTTCAACTGATCGATCCATTGATTTTACGTCTGCATTCCATTGACTACCCTACCCAAATGTGCTCACGAGTACATAGACAACATTGGTTCGTTCAAATTAAACTTTTTTTTGCCGCTGCGAACGCCTAAAATTCAAACTACTACTATCGTAAGTTGCTAAAAACCTGCAAGATGTCTGAATTTTTAGAGGAATTAGGCTTCGGATTGCTTGGATTTTTTCGTTCATAGTACATATGTTCTCCACAGTTATTTACCTTCAACCTGTGGTCAAAGGAAGCCGACTAACCGCCCTAAAGTTGGCAGATAGTTTAATTACGACTAGTGCATTGGATCAAACCCAAAGTGTCTAACTCTCGGTCAGGCTTTCTGCCGAGCATATTGCAAAGTCAACTTTAACGAATTAGGTAGATTGAATCTCTTGAATTCCAGATTTCGACACCTTTTGAACAGTCACTCATTATTACTATAGTTTGGAACAAAAAACCTCCAGTCAGTCAGCAGCTTAGTCTTACCAGTGTGCAAAAATAGACATTTTTCACCTATATGAACACGTTTCTCACACTTGCGTGTACAAAGTTTGCGGAAATTTGGGCAAAATGGTAAGCTTCAGTACGATACTTGTTCGTGGACGTAGAAAACGATAAATCCTAGCTAAGCCCAGTTTTCGAACGATAATTTAAGCGCACGTGTATCCGTGTAAATATATAACCTGCGTATTTTTCACTGATTTTGAATCAGTATGCATTTACGAGGCTTCGTTCGTGATTGACGTTCGAATTTCTGATGAATTGATTAAAAATCTTCGCAAGTTCCCCATTTTTGCCCCCTCTGCTTAAATAGAGGTTGTGGAGTCGAAACTGCGTGAAATTTCGTATCAGAGGGGCGAAAACGGCGATAGGTTGAAGATGTAGTGTTGAGATAGGCTTCCGTAAGCTGAAAACACCACCTTAGGCTGTGTACCACATTTCTATGGTACCGATAGATTCTGTTCATGCGGGATATCTACTCTATAAAAGTTGCCTGATTGTTGATACCTTGTGAAGTTTTGGAGCATTTCTAGGTTGAGGGTTACAGTTCTCTTGTTGAAGACCAGTAGTGGAGGCATACAATTTCGCGTTGTACACTCAATGCACCAATACCAATTCTTTTACGCCCTTTAGTGAAGATCGAATCTGTGGCAAGCTCTTCATCCTTTGGAGTCATTTGAGATATTTTAGGATGCGTATTTTTTTAAGATGTCATATTTCCCTGGAACTCACACATCTTCTGAAATGTTTGACGTTTAATTTTCTAGTGAGGTCAAAATGAAGGAAAAAAGATCGGCTACCCATAGGTTTGCTGAAAATTCTTCGACAGCCCACGACCGGTTTTGTCATTCTTGCAGCTAATCAGGTAGGCGCAGTCCCCGAGTTTTCGTCAAACTCATGTTCTACTTGAACCCAAATCGCACGAAATTAGTGAAATACACTCATTCGCAAACAAATTTAGTTTCGGCGGGAGGCGCAGCTGAAACCCAGCTGAATCTCTCGATATCTCGAATCTCGTACCAACTGAAACATGAAGCCCACTAAGCAGCGCACTTGGTTGCTTGGAAACCTTATAAGCGATAGAATCACCTGGGTTCCAGGTGAATCTCTCACAAAACCAAATTTGTTTGCAAATGAGTGTAATTCGCTGAGAACGATCTTGTTTGCCTACCTGATTAGAAATTAAAAACGCTGCTATGAAACCACTCGAAACGGATATTACGCACACCTCAATCGATTTATTTTACTTGTAGTCAAGCAAACTTGTGTAGAACACGTTTGCTGCAAGGCATTGAAGATTTGTTGATGGTCTACTCTAGTTGAAAATGTTGAATTCCCTGAATCGCTGGGCACGCACATGCCACTATAACCCCTCAGAAATGTTACGTCAGGTTAAACATTGAAAATCAATATATTCGGACTGATATGGTGAGTTGGATTTGGGTCCGAACACTTGATACAACTTTCTTTGGAAACCTTATCACGGCTACTTACGAGTCAGCCTCAAAGCTTGCCTGCTCATCAGACAATCTATGCCTGTTGTGCGGATAACCCATGTTTTCAGGAAAACACATTTGCTGAACAACTGATCGGTCATTCGAGCAAATTCGACATGTTCTCAGAGGCAAAATAATCGTTCTAAAATTAGATCAAGATTAATTGAGTTACTGGGATCAAGACATCTGGTCAATGTGACAGCAGACCGTGCAATTAATCCAAAAATCTTTCTTGCTGACGCCGACATCTAACTCCTCCGGTGTTCTAGCCACTTGAACACGTATCCACGAGTCTAAAGTTTGAATACAAACACGTCTGGTAAAGATACTGCGGTCAGCTGGATACGTTAACTCTCAGACTAACAACTTTATCATTTATTTGCATGTCCTAGTTTTCTGCTTAGGATGAGGGCTGAGCTACGGATATATTAATATTGATTAGCAATGCAATGCCATCACTTTAACCTTCAACTTTTACTGGACAAAGGCACATTTTCATTGTTTCATGGTTATCAAGATCCGCATCTCTGATTAGACCTAGGCCGTCTCATTATCAACCAACGCAGTGTAACGTTGGCCTTTTACAGTTTCATAGTTATCAAGATCCGCATCTTCATTTGGATCCAGGCTGTCTCATTATCAACCAGTACATTCCAACGTTGGCCTTTATTTTCAGCTGAGTAGTGAATACTTACCAGTCGGACTGTCTTTGTTCTGTAGCCATCTGCCACACGTCAGTAAAAAAAGTTTGAAACACATCATCTGATATTCGGCTCAATGGTCACCGAATATTCCCACATATCTGCATCAAGAACCCGATTTTTCCATAAACTCATTCAGTATCAAACCACTAGGATCATTTCAGCGCTATCATCTGCGTTGATAGGCTGGCAAAATACCCATTCGACTGTTAAGGTCCACCGAATAGATCAATCTGGTAACCGACGAAAATCGCCCCAAGGCAGCAGATTCTGGGAAGTGAATCACTAAATTTGCCATAGAACTCGCGTTGCATTGCGGTAGATCAGCTGGTCTCTAGGATGGGAGGTTTCGTCGTGGGTCCAACTGTACTGACGGTGTTCGAGTAAAACTCTAAACTCCGTTCATAGAATTGGGATTCAGAGTATTCCATCAGTCATTGAGGTAGAGGATTTGTGGCCCACAAGTCATTATTGCCACAAACTGTGGAAAAAGCTCAGTGGTGTTATCGTTTTTTTTCCATATTGAAGGATTTAACACGCATTTACCGAAGTGACAGAAAAACTTTAGTGTGCCAAAGTCCTGTACCGCGGAGGATGGGTTTTATATGCCAGTCTTGTAGAGCGCTGAACGGTTGTTTAAAATGTAAGCATAACAGAATTCAAATCGACCGCAGGTCTTGTCCGGGGAATGTAAGTGTATTCATGGACATGAACTATGATGATTCTCTAGTTTGGTCTAACTACTGACTATCCTTCAAGTAGTGTAGCAATATTCTAGGTTGTTCCAATTCGGCCTGCCTCTGGGTGCTTCAAAACGACTTCACCAGATTGTGAATAACGGCTCATCGAATTTTTGGAACAACAACGGCAACAAGAAGAAAATAATTAGTTTACATCTCTTTATTCACACGCGGGGCAATGAATATTTTAGCGACCGCTTAAATTTACCCTGGATATGGAGCAAAAATTTCCCCGCACTGAATAATACGTATCAGGGTTGATAAAATCAGCGACAGTTGGAAAGTTACTTCCGTTATTTGCCGAGCTTCCAAACGACGGCTTGTTAGTGTAGAAAAAGTCGTTTTTCTGATGTAAGTACAATGAATGAGCAGCACGCATTCTTGTCTTTCTTATCTTTAAATTTTGTATGCAAACTTTGTATTTCGAACAGACTGCCATAACAAATAGGTTGACTGGAATTCCTTGAACACTTCTGAGATAAAAACAATCCTATTCTTTCCTACCGCTGGTTATTGATTTTTAGTCGGACTTGGATATTTTTCTTGTCCGATGTGGACCCATTTTTTTCATCATTGGCACACAACGCAAGTTTGCACGCTATAGACCAAGTCACTTGTTCAAATCTAACCATGCGGTTAAAACCATTTGATTGTGATAAACCAAGAGGTAGCTGTCCAATTTGTTTATGAAATCACCTGTAGTACACTTTTTACGGAGGACTCAGACCCCGCACTCGTGAGAGAGTCCTTCGTGGTGCACACTACCGGTCATTCCTCATGGAGATCTTGGTTTCAGCTACCGTTTAGGTCAACATATGACGTTCTCCTGCGAACAGTTCAGGAGAAGACAATAAACTTTTTTCAGGCAAATCAAATTTTCGCGGCCATCCTGAGTGCCAACAGTCTTTTACTACTTACTGATTCAGTAAAGGACAGTAAAACGTTGATGGAAAGTCTTTACTGCGATGCTACTTTACTTGTTAACACATTGGAGAAGCACATGTTCTTGGCTTCTAAGGCAGCATACCTGTGTGTTTTAACGGGCGCCTGTCAGTTACACACATTCCGATCATGTCGTTTTTGCCTAAATTCCGCGGTGTCTTTTTGAATGGTGGGCCGCAGTGCGTTGCTCAATGAATGCTTTGAAGCTACAACCTTGCACCATGAGTCTGTGAAGTAATTAGGAACAGCGAACAATGCTCACGACAAAGGTGTTTGGTGACACTGGATGAATCTATTATCCTATTCACATCTGGCTATTTCGGGCCTTTGAAAATTTGATCCATAGCTTGCCGGGCAGGATACACCTCGTAGGAAACTTTGGCACAACGCTGCTTTCGTCCATCCAAGTCAAAACGTATGTTCCCCGGCTCAAAGGGGTTACTCTGATGTTCTTGGCGGAACACACTGACACATGGTTTCTGAAGAATTCTTGACGGCTCACAACTGGGCTCGTCTTTGTTGGAGATCATCAGCCAGTCACAGTGCCCCGGATGCCGTGAACCTTGAACACGTGATTAATGCAACTCACAAAATGCATTTAATTACTGACTAAGTTGATTTTAGCGGCACAATTGTTCAAAACTCAGATGTCCATTTAAAACACCATTTTGACGGGAACTCGAGGTTCCTCGAGATGTGCGAAACTGGTCATGGGTTGTTGAAGTGTTTTCAGCGCATTTATGGCAATCTACTACGATATCTGGATGGAACATGCGGCAATCTGTGTGCAACACATCCAGCTGAAAACTGTCTTGAACAGGGATTCAGGTGGGATTCAGTTGAGTCTTCCTCTTTACCACCAGCTCATTTCGCAAATGGCGGTAATTTGCCGGTGACTTTGATACGACTGACCTTTGAGTATCTTCTATCGACCACTTTATCAAATGCTTTTGAAACGATCATCGATCCAGAACTTTTCCCCACTTCGAGTCTACTTCAAGGCGTTTAACAATCTCAAAACGGACTATGTTGTATCCGTTAAATAGCAAGAATGCATTAATCATGTCGACTAATCGGTGGAAACAATTAGAATCTTAAGTTGTGCACAATTGCCTGATAGTTCTGAGGTAGCAGCAACCTTGTGCTGACCGTTTGCATATCACCATGGCGCCGCCTATCGTTTACACCCAAGCCGTGTGTTTGTCAAACTAACACTGGTGTGTCTGTCACACACCATGCATTGCAGCAGTTTCGATGTGTTGAATATTGTTGCTTATTGTGTCTAAAATGGGCCTCGGCTCGGCTGTGAGAATACCTCCAAGCAGTCTTTAGGGGAGGTTGATTTCTCTGACTGTCACAGAGTTACACGGATTATCTGAATTCATAGAATCAGCCGGGATAACGAATCTCCGATCCATCAGATTCATCATGCCATAGTGGACCGCTACTAATCCGGCCATATGCATCGTCGGTGGGTACCGGTCGCAATGCCTCAGAGCACGGGATATATCTCCGGAGAGCATGCCAAACTGATCCATGCGTGTTCCGTGAGTTGCCTATTTTCGTGTTATTTTAAATTGTCTGTTTGTCACCCAATCGAGATAAAGGACTTTTTTTATGCCAAATCAATCAAGTACCTTAAGAGGAAGTTTCGACGTGTACAAGTTCAAAGCCGCCATACCGAACAACCTGACCAGCTTCTGGTCACTTTTCAGAACTACTTGTAATCTGTTGCACTGGTAATTATAAGGTCCAATGAAACGAAGCATTCTGACGATTTATTAGTAATGAGGTGATTGAATAGACGTACATCCGTATGGAACAATAATCACACCTTGAAGCGAGTTTGCCAGCTGTTTGATATGATTGGTTCAGGATGAACGGGATGAACTGTCACGTGACTGAAACCTTTGTACCTCCCTGAAGGGTCTCCATTAGGATAAAAGCCTTCGGGCGACTGGATTTCCGGGACAGGACCGTACTTTCAAGGCATCTGGCTTGGGGCACACAGCAACGCAAGTTTATATTCGGAACATAGCTCCCTGCCTTTTAGAACTTTCGTCAACCTTCTCCTAGTTGGATGAATCATTAGGGCTCATTACAAATTCCAGAAACATATATGAAATGGTTGTTTTGTATACTGAGTGAATGAAACTATTCGACTGATGTGTCAGTAATGAACTCAGATGAAAAAGTCAGCCTGTATCTTTGACTGAAGTGCCGGAGTTTGCGTTAGATCAGATGTGAACAGAATTTTCAGTAAGGGAACTACTCAGAAGGTTGCTGAAAACTCTTCGACAACCCACGACCGGACAGCCCACGACCGATTTCGCCCCTTTTGGGGCTCATCAGGTAGGCGCAGTCCCCGAGTTTCCGTCAACCACATGTTTTACTTTTAGAATATCATAAATGAGAGATTCAGTTGAGTCTCTCGTGGAAACCAAATCGATTTGCAAATCAGTCTATTTAAAGTAGGTCATAAGGTTGACGGAAACTCGGGGACTGCGCCTACCTGATGAGCCCCAAAAGGGGCGAAATCGGTCGTGGGCTGTCAAAGAGTTTTCAGAGCAACCTTGTGAGTAGTTTCTTTTATGAAAATATACTGCGATATCTCAAATATCGTGCCAACTGAAACATGAGACGGTCTGTGTACAGCATTTTCAGTTGTAGAATTTTCAGTACTTTGAAAAAACATTCGGAAATCACAGAAATTACTTCAGATGTTTTCCTCCAAGATCGGTTATCTACTTCACGGTTCCATAATCGGTTGTCAGACCAGATATTGTTTTCTAATTCTCCCCAGGTTTTCTGAGCGTTCGTCCAAGCGTCGACTGAATCACCTTCTGTCTTGAAGGACAGCTTCGCACAAAGTCAAGACTTGTTGTATAGTATTCATAATACGTAATATATGCCTTGCGCTTCAGCAGTAATCCGTTAGCTGACTCGTTTCCTGACACGCTTCAAGCACATTAGATTTGACCAAAGCTCGCGAACTCTGCGAACCTCCCCTAGAGATCATACATATCTAGTTTGGTTGCCGAGTTCAACTACATGTGTTCAGTGGTGCAGGTAGAACCCCAATGAATGACCTTCATGGATGTTTCGGATCAAAACGGAGCAAGAAAATTGTTTGATGTCTAGGACTTATTTCAGTAGGTTGTCAGGGAACAAGAACTAAAAGTATGTGCAGCCAGAGTTCACATTAGGTTCATATCAGGCAATATATACCGATGGAAAGGAATGACTAAGCACACCTCACATCAAGGACCTGGGTGACTTCAGCTGAATTCCGTTTGACAGCCATGACCCGAGTGTTTCAATTCGCAAAGTGCAGATAACACAGACAGATAACATAACGAAAGGATGGCCCCAACCCACACAGGCATTTGACACTCACCTGTACAGCCAACACCTTTTGTTGTCTTTTGTGCCCTCCCCATCCATCGTTCACTTTGGGGTGCCTTCTAGGAGGGAATATTTTAACCGAACAAGGCGAGGCTAGACAACCACACACCAACTGGTGTGCGGACCAGATAGCCATGCTAGAGTAGTCAGCTTCAGTTAGACAAGCTGCCAAAACTCTTTAGAACCCATTCACCAGGCTTTAACATTGTTAATCCGACGTTCTCAGGTGATCCACATGCAATGCCTTGAAGGCGGTGGTGTTTGAGGGTAGGCGGTACACTTTTGGCTTCAGTCTAAAGCAGCCAGATTTTGGTTCCTGTATGGATGGGATAATGTAACTGGTGGGGTTTCACAATTCCATATTTGCCTGCATCCCGCCCCCCACAAAGACGGAAACCACTCATTTTTGGCCGGGTGGCTGAACGGCCGGCTAATCGTGCAGGACCAGTCAGGTCCCGTCCCACCGAACACAGTTTCGGTGATTCTCTTGGTTCTGTTGATTAGCTCAACAACTTGAAAGCCAGGGACAAGGTGTATTCGCATTGCTGAAACTCCGTCGACAGCCCACAACCGGTTTCGCTCTTCTAGGGGCTTATCAGGTGAGCGCAGACCCGGGTTTCCGTCAACCTCATGTTCTACTTTGAAGCCAAACTGTACAAAATTAGCGAATCTACACTCATTTGCAAACTAATTGGTTTTTCGCTTGATGATGGTCTCAGTCAAATGAATGTGCTGCATGCACCAGGCGCCCTCATGTTTCAGTCGCTACGATATTTCAAATATCGCGATGCATGTATATATTTGTATTGTAATGTACTACTCATAAGGTTGCTGAAAATTCTTCGATAGCCCACGACCGGTTTCGCCCTCCTAATTCGGGCTCATCAGGTAGGCGCAGACCCCGAGTTTCCATCAATCTTATGTTCTGCTTGAAACCGAATTGCCCGAACTTAGCGAAATACACTCATTTGCAAACTAATTTGGTTTTTCACGAGACTCAACCGAATCTCTCGTTTGGGATGTTTCCAGGCAACGTTTCCAGAAACAAGGTGCTTTTTTTGCCCGGTGTTATGCAACCACTTGCCAACATCCACTCGTCTAAAAGCGTTGTATGTTTAACTGAAACTTGATTTTGGTTTTCCGAACTAAAAAGCTTGAGTTACGCGACAAATCTTCAACTCCACCACAAAAAAAATGGATGGTGAAACGATTCGGTCGTCTTTTTGTCCCACGATGTTTACTGTCTGCGGTCGGGCATCATTTAAACGAGTACTGCAGGAGATTTCGCATAAGTGAACTTAGGACCTGGGTTATGACATCCGGTGACACAAAGTTCACCTCGAAGGAGCAGAATGACCGCAAATCTTCCCCTACTAATATTCCAGTTCGATGTGACACGTAGGCTGCGGAGAAAACCGCAAAAAGAGCTGCCTTTGTTTTAAACAAAAAAAAGTTGAAGTGCACTGAGCTCAGAGCCAAAAATATGGGTCCGTGTGACATTGTGCAAAACACCCAGAAATCTCCAAAAATAACTGTGGCGAAGAAAGACACGTTGCTCAATCCAACTTTAAAGGATGAGATTATAGCTTCTTATTACATTGGACAACAAGGACATGTTGCCGAATCTGACCCCATCTGTTTTCATAAAAACTACTCACAAGGTTGCTGAAAACTCTTCGACAGCCCACAACCGGTTTCTCCCTTCTTGGGGCTCATCAGGTAGGCGCAGTCCCCGAGTTCCCGTCAACGTTATGTTCCACTTGAACCTCATCTGTGTTTTATACCTAAGTCTGTTCGTGATGTCATCGACATCAATCTGCCACGCTTGGCCGTAAGTGCTATTCAGAACACTCACACAGTTATTCGCTTTGCACGCCCAGTCTCCTAAATTTGCACGGAGAAACACTCTAGAGACAATCATGACTCTGATCAACCTCTCTTGTCCGAACTGCTGAGTGTTCAAACTGCCGCCACCACTCGGGTTCAAAACTTCCTCAAGTAGTTTCGTCAGAGGAGTATTGCCAATGAGTCACAATAAAAATGATAGGGTTGTTCGATACCTCCCTCCTCTTCACAGAAGACTGCCCCCCCCCCAATACGACGAAATCACCTTTGACAGTTTCCGAATCTCTCCTCACAGTGCCATCAACTTAGGAGATGGGCGTATACGTGGTTATCGGTTTGTTGGCTGAGCTCAGTCTGGCACCCACATAGACCAAGGAAATTTGTGAACGACAAGCGCGGGCAATAGTTCACAAACGGAAAACGAGATTCAAATTTTAACTAAACATACAGCGCTTTCAGACGAGTGGATGTTGGTAAGTGATTGCAAAAACAAGCAAATTGTCTCTGCAAACAATGCCTGGAAACATCAGCTGAGTTCTGGGTGAGTCTCTCGCAAAACCAAATTCGTTTGCAACTGAGTGTATTTCGCCCAATTCAAGTTTGCTAAAAAGCTGCCTAACGCAGCAGTGTTGACCGTGCCCAAAGCCTTTCCCACAAGTTTTACAATCAATAAACAACTTACAATAAAAATAAAAAAGTTAACCACAGATTCCGAAGAGTTCGTTTCTCAACCATCATTAACGATGATCATCAATACGGTTGCATAGTTCGTCTGCTGCTGAAGCCATAAACTGTTTTTCACCCTTCTGTGTACGTTGGACATGGATTTTTAGCGCCGGATCCAAACAACCAGATAACAATCATAATCACCGACGACGGTGAGTAGGATCCGACAACAGCATAGGTGTATACCCTGTCACGAAGACACCGGACCTTACCGTGGTGTGACGATTTGCGCACCTAAGCGATCCATTGAGCTACACCGGGTAGTGTCCCCGTGACATTCACTCATATCAGGTTGGTCAATGGTTAGAGGTCTGACAAACACAGTCTCCTGGCCGTCCAGGTTGGGGGTTGGAACATGTGGCTACTTGTTTCGTAGAAATGGTAATGCATTTGCATTTCGCGCCAAACACCGCTTCCTTGCGGTTAGGCTTTTAAGCCAAGGTTTGGGCTGAGGACCCTAGTCGTCCCCCTGTCTGGATGTGGGCGCCCTGGCAGTATCCTAGCCCTCGTACAACCATGACACTGATACGGCAGCGAAGCATCGGTGTTGAACACTGATATCATGCTGTCGATGAAGAAGAAGAAGATGATGATGATGAT